ACACAAAGCCAGCCACGAGCAAAGCTAGCTAACCCCGTTTCTGCTTCGGCGACAAGCCGCAGGGCGGTGACACCGCCGCTGAAACTTCTGCCTCGGCTCTTCAAACCAGGGCCCCTCAGTGCACAAGCATGACACTTGCTAGGCTGCTCTGCCTGTACCAAGTGACACGCGCCCGCATGTTCCCTCTCATAATTCTTCTGACTGTACGTGCCCCGTATTGTACACGGCCATACTGTGCACATGGCGAAAGTTCCCTTTTGAAAGTGCTCCACGGTCGGCTTACAATGCTGCGAACACATAGCAGATGACCACTATAGGTGACGACACTTGGGACACTTGCCATCCGTCGTTGTGGCGCAAAGTCGCTTTCTCAGTCGTCCTCACAAGGGGCAAGGAAAGGCAGGCACTGCATAAAAAATCAATACATATTATAACACTGGCTGTGGCAAACTAGTTTCAAAGATGATACAGTCATGTCTTCTTAATATGGACACCTCCGTACTATAAAAAGATTTTTTTTCTATAATGTAAGGTGTTTATATGAGAAAATTAAATTTAAAACAAAAATTGGATAACAAGCATAACCAAACAAACAGTTTATTCAGCTAAAAGATAATGAGATGTGAGTTTGCTCTATCGCTTTAGAGCCGTTTAACATGTAGCACTACTGTCGTTTACAAGAACAGATACCCAGGCTGTAAAGTGATGATCGGCTGAATAGCAAAAGATGTTGCACTGTATGCACAAGCCGGATGTAATTGACACTTAGCTGCCGGCAGTTAGGATCCTATAATCTTATGATCGCAGACGGGAATTACATATGGTGCCTACGGCTGGAATAATGTCTCGCTTCGTAATAGAAAAAGCACAAAAAAAACACAGGATGGAGAAACCGGGTGTCACAAATTCAGGCTTCTCTTCATTTTTTTAAATACTTTTATGATCTTTTTTTTTGGACCACTTTAAGTGTTGGTACGGTCAAAAAGGGGGAGTGTGGTGCCACTTTTAATCTCAGTTCGTCCCGTCGTAGTTCCTTTCTAAGTCCCCAACGAATTTGCTCGTTTGCGGAATGGGTTTTTGTTAACGGGCGACGTAGATCATCCCAGGTCACAGTTTGTGGCTTTGACCTCGCGGACAGAGGGGTGCGTATGCTGGCTCGCGTATGGTGCCGATTTGACATGCAGGGGCGCCGCCGGGATACAAAGATGTTTACGCTGGCTAGCGCGCTTTTTGAAGGTGGCGGCTTTGCTCAGTCTGCCGCCTGTCGTGTTCTATGTATCGGCGATAATTGATGTTTTTGGACTCGTACGGGGGAATGGATGGGCACATATGTTTGGTTGTCTGAAAAATGTAATAGGTTTTGCCATTTGGGTCGTTGCTGTGTAGCTTTGTTTTTCTTGAAAGTTGACTGACCCGAAAGGCGGGGAAACGGGAGGTTGGTCGGTAGACGAGCCTATAAAAGGGGGTTCGGGAACAAAGAAGGTAGTCCAACCCCAGAGCTGGCCGGGTCGCTACTCAACGCGGTTACTCCCTGCAGATGAGTCTTGGAACGTGTAATTTTTGGCTTCTGCCCTGCCTGTCGGACAAGTGTTTGAGTTTGTTGTGCTGAAGCGTGTGTGGCTGTGTGGTGCGCGGTGTCGACCTCATCAAGCCTCTAATTGGACCGCTGGACTTCGAGACGCCGTTCTTCGGCCGACAACTCCAGACTACGGACTGCTCTGGACTCGGCACCTACCGGAAAGCTAAGCCTGGTTTTCTAGGACTTGTCTACTGCATTCTCTGGCTCTGAAGTATGAATTGTCGAATGTTGGGAAGATTCTTACACAGTGCTACTTTCTGTCGCGACTGTTTTGGGGGATTATCCCATGTGTGTAGCGGTAACGTTCGAGCTCCATCTCGGTTTGCTCTCGTTGTTAGTGTCGGGTTTTCGTCACTGTTTTGTTGGCTTATTCCGGTTTTATGAGCGTCGAGTCTTTTTAGTATTAGTTGCTGGCTCGCAGGGCTCCATAGCTTTGAGCTGGAGTGTGGTTTGTGTTGAGTGCTCTATTGCCGTGTACAGCTTAGTTTTTCACTTTATTAAATCTAATCTTTTGTTTGCTTATCCTCCCTGTGTCATCATCTTTCTCCACTGATTATACACCAGGCGTGGACCTAGCGCTAGTCAATGGTCGAACTTAGCTCTCTTGTTCTTTTCCCGTAATTTCTCGTTTATTCTCAGAGTGGATCATTGAATTATTTTTATTAATTTGAACCCCACTCCGTGACACCGAAACAGATGGGAAAGCACCACAACGTATTAAACTCGTCGAACATTAAATGTTCTTGAATTATACCTCACCCATGCTTGCTACGTGATGAAGCCCAAAGGTTAGTTCAATGCCAATCAATATTAAATGTCTTTAGATGGGCACCTGCTGCCCGATCATGGCCTTTATTGCAAAGCACTGTTCACACATTTGCGAGTCCTGCAGTGCCTTGTGGAATGGTGGGCGATACTTGCCGTTCCGCAAGGCACTGCAAGACAGATCAGGCTCAACTTTTGAATGTCGACGTGCTTACGGAATGCTGCAGCAAACCAATCATTCGCCGAGGGAAAAAAAAAGGAAGCTGCATGCCTCCGTGTGCTCATTGCCAGTGTTTTCTGCTCTGCTATGTACCCTGCTTGTGTGCTGTGATTTGCAAGCCAGCGCGGGATATATTTCCTTGATTTGTTTGTCTGTTCAGCTGTGCGAGGTTGTGATTGAAACAACCAAGAAGTATAGATCGCCATTCTTTTCATCAAGCTAAGGCTTCGCTCATCCGAACCGGGGACGATGACTGCTGTTGTTTACACGATTTTCGACAGCTATGTGGAGTGGCTTTGTGTTTAAAATTGCAATCCTAAGTGCAAAAAGAAGTTACCGCAGACTATATTGTTAAAGGTTGATTTCAACTGGCAGGCTCTGGCTACAACCACCTTAATATTCATTCAACATTGTTTGCATTTTTACTTACCCGTGATCGCTTCATTTGCCAAACACGTTAGTGGCCGGTCACCTTACCAATGAAACTAATGTGCTGGTGTCTCCGGCGAAGAATTCCCTCAGGGCTACATGCAATGCACAACCCAGTTTGTAGCCCGTTGTGACTGAAAGCTTTCACACTGGGGAAACATTGTTGTCACAAACGCAGTCAAAGAATGCGATAGGATTGAGGGAACAGGGGGATTGTCCAAGTTGACTGACTGCATGAGCATATGTTTCTATCGCCACCGTGTTTCCTCCACGCAGGCGACGGAGAAAACGATATAGAGACTCCTCGCGCTTGCCAATGCCAAGTTTCTCTAAAACGTCGAAATACGAGACACCTAGCAGCGAAGTGTCGATATTGCCGGAGAGAGAGGCGGGACAACGATCAGCGCAGGATCGCGGCTTCGCCACTCTTATGCGACGGTGTCTTCGGTTTCCGCTCTCTGCAGCTTCCACCGGGACGCTAGCCGTGCCTAATTGTGCTAGCTTTGAGCACCACAGTTCATAGGGTTCACAGCGCCCGAGCGAAAGCTCGCGCAAAAGAACCGGCGAGCAGTCGAGTCGTTTCCAATCGACAGGGTGGCTAAACGCCGGTTGTGTGAATCGGGCTTAACGCCTGAGCCGGCTTGCTCAAAGCAAATCTAACGTTCTTGAATGTCATCTAATAAAAATCTGAGACGTGCTACATTCTATACAAACTTGATAAAAAAAATCAAACACTCACCTTCGGCTGCTACGTCCGCCGTACCGCTTCAAGGCAGAAGCAACATGGCGCTCGACGTTTTGGGGTGTTGGGCTGGGGTGTTTTCAGTGTTGCTTACACGCCTAGTCGTGTAAACCGAAACCGAAACACCAATTTTTACTACCCCAAGTAATTTTTTGACGATTTATCACTAGCAGAGCGTGTAAAAATATGCTAACGAGTGAAAATGGGGTGTAAACAAGCGAAATATTACATTTTCGCTAACAGTGTAGGATCAACAGTCCATGGGGAGTCGCAGGAAATTCCTAGCTGATAGGGGGCGCGAGAGTCGCACCAGCTGCATCATCATCTGCAAAGCATTTCTTGGAAAGGTGAGAGAACACAACCGTCGCTGTTGTCACCGCGTCTTGATTGGGTGAGGTTAGCGTGACGTCAGAAGAAGGACTCCACTTCGCGATCTGGCATCCGGCTCGCTTTCCTGCCCGCGTGCGCCCGTTTCTTCATGATTGTGGGGTTTTCAATCGATTTCAATCGCATTTGGCGGCAGCGGCAGCAAGCTGACGACACGTCAGCTCATACTTCTTCTCCTGTGTTTCGCAGCTGCCTAACCTGGTGGCCCACCGACTACTCCGACGCGACATCCCTACAGACCGTCATCCGACAAACTCAAGCTTCAAACGGAGGAAATTTATTTTTCGTCGGCAAGGCCACGTTCTTCCAACGCAGCGAAATCGCCTGCGATATCAGCGACGGCAGCGACATCGATGGGCACCTGCGCTTGCTGAGGGGCGTTTTCTTCGCATTTGGCGGCAGCGGCAGCAAGCTGACGACACGTCAGCTCATACTTCTTCTCCTGTGTTTCGCAGCTGCCTAACCTGGTGGCCCACCGACTACTCCGACGCGACATCCCTACAGACCGTCATCCGACAAACTCAAGCTTCAAACGGAGGAAATATATTTTTCGTCGGCAAGGCCAAGTTCTTCCAACGCAGCGAAATCGCCTGCGATATCAGCGACGGCAGCGACATCGATGGGCACCTGCGCTTGCTGAGGGGCGTTTTCTTCGCATTTGGCGGCAGCGGCAGCAAGCTGACGACACGTCAGCTCATACTTCTTCTCCTGTGTTTCGCAGGTTGGTAAATTTCCCTTTGTCACCTTATTTATTACTATTAGTCTACCTGCCGCTGCTGCCAGAGTGCGTTGCGTGAAGGTGTTTTGTCTTTTTTGTGTATTTTGTCATGACACGCTGTTGCGCATGCCGGCTATCTATTCCTAAGAATGGATCGTATATGCGCTGCTCTATATGTAATTTCATGTTCCATCTTGGTGAGTGCTCTGATGAAACCGAAGAAACACTGCAAGGAAAACCTGGGGATTTTAAAAAAACATGGAAGTGTGGACTGTGCATAGGAGGCAAAAAAACGAACAAAGAAACAAAAACGCCGAAATCGGTAGTCGACTTCTCTTTACTGTTGCTGGAAATAAGTAATAAGCTCGATACTCTTATGACCTTGCCAAGCGTGATCGGTGGACTCGAAAGGTCTGTATTAGTACTTTCAGACACGTTTGACGACCTTCAAAGTCGTTTACTTGCGCAGGAGAAGTCCACTAAAGAACTGGCTAATCGAGTAGACCTGCTAGAAAAAGTTTCCTCTGGAAACGAACTCGCTCAGCTCCGATTAGATTTGGATAACCTCGAAAGACAGAGCCGTCGTCTAAACATTGAAATTCATGGCATCTCAGAAACACAAAATGAAGACCTCATGGGAAAAATGAACAAATTGGCAACAAAGCTGGATATTCCACCTGTAAACCGAAGTGACATTGCAGCCTTGCATAGACTCCCAGCAAAACCGGGCGAAACACGAGGCGTTATCGTTCGCTTCACGTGTCAGGAGCTTCGCGATTCTTGGCTTCAAAAAAGGCAGTCACTTAAGAAAGAAAAAGGCAACTTGTATATTTGTGAAAACATGACTCGGCTCTCCCGCACTCTCTTGTCAATGACGAAGGAATGGGCGCAGAAATCAGGATACGCTTTTGTTTGGCATGCGAATGGGAAAGAGCTAGTCCGAAAAACGAACGGTGAACGTGCAGTGGTTATTCGCGGTGAGGATGATCTTGTCAATCTAAAGTAACTCGTACGAAAGAACGTCTGAACTTTTGTTATTTTCATGCCTAATCTTTCGTGTGATATCGCATCTTTGAAAGGTCATTATCTTTCACTTTTTCATTTAAATGCAAGAAGCTTGCGGGAAAAATTCGACGAGGTAAATCTTTTTTTATCTGAGTTAAATCAATGTTTTGACATAATCTGTTTTAGTGAGACGTGGTTTACATCTGATGAGTGTGTCCAGCTGGCTGGTTACGACTGTGTGTCTGCGTGCCGCTCAAAAAAGGCTGGTGGTGGTGTTGCCATATATATTCGCTCAGAGCTATCATACAAAATAGTACCTGAATACAAAATTATAGACGACAACATTGAGTGTATTTCGATCCAATGCTGTGATATTTTGTTTGCTCTCTTGTACCGTCCTCCGTCTTGATCTGTAAATGACTTTCTGCATTTCTCAGAAACGCTGCTTGAACACAGCATAGAACTAAAGTTACAGGTGGTTCTTGTTGGTGATCTTAACATAAATGCTTCCGCTGACAATATTTCATATTTGCGCTTTCAAGATATATTTGAATCTTATGGTTGCACAAACACAATAGCTGAACCAACTAGAATCACCTCGACTTCCGAGACAACCCTTGACCTCTGCATTACAAATCTTCCTACTGAGAATTTGAGATCAGGTGTATTAACGTGCGATATCAGTGATCATTTGCCAATATACTGTCTAATGCCTGTCAACCAGCTGCGCAAGAATAACGAAAAGAAAACTGGTTAGAGAATATTCGGAACGAAATATTCAATATTTCAAAGATCTTATTTCCTGCCTAGATTGGGATCGTGTTTTGAGAGAAAATGATGCAAACACAGCCTATGACGTTTTTTATCCCGCTTTCTGTCCGCGTATAACACCTCTTTTCCCCTAAAGACACGAAAAAAACAAGAAAACTCGAAAACCATGGATATCTCATGAATTATATGCAAGAATTAAAAACCGCAATAAGCTATTTCAAATATTTCTAAAAACGAGAAGCGAAATTGACCTTTGCATATTTAAGGAAGTCCGAAATAAACTAAACTCTGATATTAAAAAAGCAAAATGCGAATATTATATGAACACATTTTCAGAGGTTATGGGAGATCCCCGAATGATATGGCAAACAGTAAACGAGATCATTTCTAAAAATACCTCGGCAAGAAAAGTTCAATATTACAATGAGGCGCTGACGGATAAACAAATAGCAAATTTGTTCAATGTTCATTTTGTGACTGTTGGTGCTCCTTTAAAAAACTGTGCAGAAATACCATGCGAGCAGTTCATTTCGGCAAACTGTGTTAATTTCCCTCTTTCTATATCCAACAGACCAGTGTGAAATAATGGAGTTAATTCTAGCATTAAAAAATGATTGCGCCTCCGGGCCAGACGACATTAAACCAAAACCGTTAAAAGCCGTTTGCGACAGAATCAGTATTCCACTCGCGCACGTTTGTAACCTCATGTTATCTACGGGTGTCTTTCCAGACAAAATGAAGCATGCACGTGTGACGGTTATACACAAAGGTGGCCCAGTTAGTGACTTAAACAACTATAGACCTATTTCTGTACTTTCAGTTTTTGCAAAGATAGCCGAACATATTATAAATAAAAGACTTGTTAAGTTTTTGACCTTCAATAACATTTTAGTAAAAGAACAATTTGGTTTTCAGAAAAATAAATCGCCAGAAGTTGCACTTCTTGGAATTAAAGAACAAATTCTCGAGAACGTAGAACAAAAAATATACACGCTTGGTATATTTCTAGATCTTAACAAGGCTTTTGATTGCGTTCAGCATGAAATACTTCTACAGAAACTTCCGTTTTGCGGAATACGCGGTATTTCCTTATCACTGATTAAAAGTTACCTCACTACAAGAACGCAATATACAGTAGTAAATGGAGTAAAGTCAGACGTTCAGTACATAAAGTATGGGGTTCCTCAGGGGTCTAATCTTGGTCCTATATTATTTTTGTTATATATTAATGACATTGTAAACATACATGGCAGTTCAAATATAGTTCTATATGCAGATGACACAAATATTTTCTTTTCTGGCTCGGACATCGACGACCTCTTTGGAAAGGCAAAACAGTGGTTGCGGGGATTAGACTTATGGCTTAGATCTAATAAACTTTATTTAAACATAGAAAAAACAAAGTACTTACTGTTTAGACCAAAAGGAACGATACCACCTTCCAATTTGCAATTAAAATTCCAGGACTCTTATATTCAACCATCTTCAACCATTCGATTTTTGGGGGTTTTATTCCATGAAAATCTATCATGGACGCCACATATTGATTCTTTGAGAACAAGTCTTTGTCGAGCTGTTGGTGTCTTAAATAGATTAAGATATTATCTTCCAACAAAAGTGAAACGTCAAATTTATTTCGCTCTTGTGCAATCCCGCATAAGTTACTGCCTTTTAGTATGGTCAACGACATCCCAAACAAAACTAGACAATATTGTATCCATACAAAAGCGAGCATTGCGAGCAATTGGTAACATACAACTCCTTAAAAGTGCCACACCTTATTTTAGGACATATCAAATACTCAACGTAAGAAATCTACATCAATATAAACTATCACTTGAAATTTGGCGGCAATTTCAGCTCGATAAATTGGTGTTCTATGCTAAGTACCACGCGAAAGATAGCCCGTATAATTTAAGGCGTCATTTATTAATAAAATCGCGTTCGCGAACGAATTATGGAGACCAGAGGTTGAGTTTTTTGATACCAGACCATTTAAACCAATACCCATATATTTCAGCTTCATTGGAGAGCGTGCGATCACTCCATCAATATAAAAATATTGTAAAAGAATACTTACTCACAGGGGAATAAAACCGTATGTGTTTTAAGCAAAATGCTTGGAATGATAAGTAGCAATTGTCCTTTCACGTCATGTTTTGTGATGTATTTGTTTTGTTTTGTATAGATTTTTAGTTTGGAGTGAAATTGTGTCATTCCTCATTTATTTGTTTTTGCTACCGTTGCTACCAAAAGGGTGGCATGGCCCCGTCAGGCATTTATGCCTTTTGCCATGTCACCTGGGACATCTGTGTACAGTTATGTCTTAAATAAAAAGTTATCAATAAAAAAAAAACAAAAAACCTTGGTCACCTACTGTTAAATGTCGCAATGCAAATCCCGAAAAAAAAAAGGTATTAGCTTTCACCGCCCGAAGACGTTGAAATGAAAGAATGCATGGACAATCAAACTAAGGATGGGAAAGGCATCGTCAACGTCGACTGTTGTGTGCCGCAAGTACTTCAAGGAGCAGGACTTTGTTTGCCTGGTGTACAAGACGCTTGGTGAGACCGACACCGACGTTTCAAGAATCGTTCTTGAAAGGTCTCCGCGTTACGTTCTCACAATGAGGGTTCGCCACGAATGTCCCGGGAAATTTGCAGCGTCGTGTTGGCTCGGAGAAGATGCTGCGAAGCAGCCCCCCGAGTCCCGAGTTTCGCCACCAAAATGACAAGGTTCCTTATCGGTTTAGAAGTGGGACGTTAAGAGGTCAAGCAATAATTCACTGAAGCTTTGCCCAACCGAAGATTTCGTCTTCATCCTTCGCTTCCTCTTTCTCCTTCTTGATTCTCCACTGCAATCAAGTCAAAACTAGAAAGACATGTTTAACTCATAAAACAAGCTGTTTTGTTTTTCATGGTGGTAATTACAACAATAAAAGGTTGTTAAATAAACGGTAGTTTACATTTACAGTAATTCTTTCTTCTACAATATCATTAGTGCTCGGACGAATTGATAAATCCACCTGCATGGTTGAAAAATAGACCTAGTGATAAATAATCACTATTTTAGGTAGTGATTTGTATCAAAATGATCTGATTTTATTCAAATAAAACTAATTTTCTTTTCGAGGAAAAAAACTTTAGTCTAATTCGCAGCCAATGAAATTTCTGCATCAACCGAAAAACGAATCACAAAGCAAGAAACAGACAAAGCATGTCACGCCCGGCGTTTCTTAAGCTGTCGGGACTATAGTCAACTCGAAGGTTTAGAATACCTTCTTATATTTTAATTGTTGGTGGCATAATGTATTTGGATATTCTACGTTCGACCACAGTACGGTATATGTGGCGCCGAGATTACATTTGTCCTTTCATACTTCGACGAACTGTTTGTCGCAACTTTAGCTGCAGAAAAGCACACCAGACGCCTGTGTTGAGCACAGCACACCACACCAAGCATGGCATTATTATCAATACCGCAAACGACCGGATCCACTGTCGTGGAGTCAGTCGTATAAATCGTCGCAAGAGGCTTAAAAAACTGTCTCGTCACAGTCGGTCTTATAAGCAAACGCAAGTGTGTGAACGGGCAGTTACTCCACCAGTGTGTTGATAGCTCAGCCTTTTAGAATGTACATTTGGCGAGTTAGTTTTGGGAAAGTCGCGCTGTTGTTCACTCTGATGTCTCAGGCATTTGACCCGTACCTGCTAGTCAGCGATATTTGTTTTCCCATGGCCAATACCATTATTTTACAGGCACTTTATTCCACATTGCGCCAAGCTGCATCAACCATTCGGCTTTCTTCTTGGCCAAAAAGGACGTTTTACTCCGCCAATTTGCCGGTAATAATGAACTGAGGAAACCTTTTGGGCAGCAAAACCATCGTTGCCGAAGACCCCCCTTCAGCAACTTTTATATCTATCGCACCAATGTCGATCACGACGGCCGCCTATACTATTTCATTTAGGAGTCACCCTCCGCCAACACATTCACGGCCAGTGGCAGCCGATGAGGTCAGAAGACCTGGAGAGGCCATGACGTCAGCCCCGTAGCTTCCGCAGGCCTCTCTTGGCGCTCGCCCCTTTCTCACGATTTCTCATTCCCCCGCACCAGACTTGTACGTAACGCGTTACAAGTAATTGATTACTTGTAATCAATTACAGTTAAGTGTAATTTTGTAACGCTTCAATTACATTTGTCAAGCTGTAACGCTCGGAGTAATTCAAT